GGGGGGGTGGGGGTGGTATTTTTAGTTAAGATTATAAAATTGGGGGTATATACCGCTATTTCCCAAAATATTTTGTGATACATAAAATAATGTTCAAATTTTGATCCACGTAATTTGCTCGCCATGTTTCGCTTTCATCCATGTACATTTCATTTTTGCCATTTTGCCATTGTAGTTTGATGCTTTTTGCAGTTTAAGCACATCTAAATTTCCGTCCAAATGCTTGAGTTCAAGATCAAGATGCGTAACCTCATCATTAACTACTAAGAAATAAACGTGATTTTGTTTTCCTAATGCCATTACTATCATTCCCTTTCCAGGTAAGTAAACATGCGATCCAAGATGCTTTACGTCTATGCCAGAGAGCCAAGAGGCTAGTCTTATGAACTAGGGACAACATTTAAAATCACCCAAAATGGGTAGTGATTTTCCCACTCCCCTTTTATCCACTTACACTCCATTTTTTTTTTAAAATTACATGTTTTCACTCTTCTTTTGTTCACTTACACTTCCTTTTATCTTATAGTTAAAAGTACTAAAAAACAAAAGGAAGTGTAGGTGGATAAAAGGGGAGTGAGAAAATCACCACCCTTTAAAATAACCCCTCTTGGTTGGTATAAACTTGTATAAGCTTTCTTTACGAAAGGCCTACTCATGATAAAAGTGGGGAAAAAGAAGAAAGAAAAACAGAAAAATCATCGAGTACATTGTGCGTGCCTTTTAGTTTCAGCTATTAGATAATGCTATGGCTACAATATATGCATTTTTACTCAAAATAAATCAATAAAACAAACAGTATTTGTAAGTCTTAGAAGTTACAAGGGACAGCTTAAATCTAATATGTCCAAAAGGAGTAATTAGTATTCGGTATATGAATAACCAACAGGGGCTAATATGGCATGGAGGCATAAACACAGCAGCTGATCGTTGAAAGAAATTGGAAAGATGATAATCAGTTGAGATACTATGTGCAGGAGTCTTAGAGCTGGCGCAGTGACTTACAGGAGAGTTCTCCGTGGCTTATCCATATGATAAATTGCTAGAATGTATTTCGAGTGCATCTGGAATAGATCAGTCAAGATCTCCTCGTCTGTATAAATGGAAGCGATCAGGAGCGCAAATGTAGTGTGGAAAAGAAAGAGGAACAATCTTTTAAAGCCTCATCAAGAAAAGCAAGCGAGAGGGGTCCTTGAGAAGGCAATGCCTATCTGAACCAAAGAAGCTAAAGGCAACATCTGATGAACCTGTTCAGTGCTTCCATCCCTTTGGATGACCGTCTTCCATGTATGGCTCTAAAAATCCAATAAACTGAAATTCCACAAGGAAACACAATCACTTTATTGCTTTTTAGAAAAAGGGTATTTCAATCTATATGCTTAAGCTTCATATTGAGGAAACTTGATGCTTAAGCTTCTTTCAATAATTAATTTAACATGTTTAACTAAATGGTACAACTGTAGTTCAGGTTGCCAAAAGCCCCAACAGTATTAGTTAGACATGATTTAGGCCCATGGTGAAACTTTAGATTGAGTTGAGTATGGATAAAAGCATAGTTAGGGATGATCACAGATACCTTGCTACCATCTTCCGACCACCGTGCACCATATCCTTCAGCAACCCTTATTTCAAAGACAACACCGTGTGGTTGAACACTATGCACATTTAACCAGCAACAATGTGTCATTAATCGACTGATGACATCCAATGCGAGCCTGTTTTTATTGGAATCTATAAAGAGCAAAAGGAAAAAGGAAACACAACTGATCTTAATAAAAAAAACATAAAATCACAGTATTTGTATATCAACACATAATCACATGAATAAAACTTAGTTGTAAACATTTATACCCAAAAACTCAAAATACACGAGTAGCAGTGCACAAAGCTTGTCACATTCGACCATAGAATGATGTATTCAATTCATTATCAAAACCAAAAAACATTTAAAATATATTAGGACCTTGACCAATAAGGTTAAAGTGTTTAGTGTTCTTATCCTCTAGCCTCTAATTTATGCGAATATCCAAGAAAGATGTGTGAATCTTCTATACAATCAACCTACAAACCTGTGTTAGTACTTACGAATTTAAATAACACTATGGTAGCAGAACACTGATGTTCAGAGGTTTTGTCAAGAAACATAAATATCATTATTATTTTCATAATTGTTCTCATACCTCTAGTGCTTAAGCAAATTTCTATACTTTAAATTATGAATTTTTTTTCTTTGTAGTTTTGAGTGAGAGTTGCTGTGTCCAACACCAGGTGATGGAAGCGTGATAGTCAAGAAAATTTATATAAGCAAAATAAACTAACATAATCAAAAAAATCCCAAATTTCTAGGCCTTTTAAAGAAAGACAGGTTGTATGTAACCATAATTAAATGTGTGAAAGAATCAATAACAAACAAGATACTAATAATAATCTCCAGAGTCTAGATTTAAATCAAGGCCTTAACAGTTTCTCACCACTTCCATCTAAGGAACCCCAATATTTACTGCTACTCCGATGTGCATGTTTTGCCAAGGCCCTAGCTCCATGAGTCAATGTACTACCTTCAACCTGTAGCCAGAAAGAATGAAGTAAATAAAAAGCATGCAATACATAAATCAGTCTCTGAAGCCTCTAGGAATAAACATGCAGAAAACAGAAGTATATTGTCTATCTTTTTATTTATTTATTTATATATTTTGTACCCAGAAATCCACCAATTCAAAAGCTATGTGCTGTTTTCACACCAGTTACTAGATCAGTCTGTCACATGATCACAAATAAGTGGCTTCATAATCAACAACCAGGATTCTATTTTATTTTTTATTTTTTAAAGGAATTAACCAAAAATCTTTTCTGTTTCTGATTTAATCATTTTAGAAGTTTAGGAGGTTTCTAAATGCCTACTCTACAGCAAAGAAAAGAGCATCTAACAATGCAATTTTCCCAAGCAATCATTGTTGTACATTCAATTTATATGGCAGCACAAATGATGACAGAAGAGTAGATGTTGGCGGGGGTAGAGCATCTGGAGTAGATCCTGTGGTATGTGCCAGACCAAGAAGGCCTTGAAGACCCCCCAGACTCAATCCCTGAATACAAGAATATAACTGTCAAAACTTTCACACAACCATTGTGAACTTCTATCAACTCAAGGCAGCTGTTTATGTACAAAATGTCTCAATAAGAGGAGATTAGAGCACTAGGTTCACAAGTAAACTACACATCCACACACTGATAGGAATGTGTCTAAGAACGCAGAAAGAAATACACTTACAAAGAGCATTCTAGCTAATGAAATGTAAGGCTGGAGAGGAAACTTTGAAACACAAATCGCAAGAACACCATTTGACCTTTCCTTTTCTTCGGTGTAAAACTTTCTGTAAATTTGCGCACCTGCAAGCTGCACACCCATTAATATCAAGAAATTTTTACAAAAGCCATAAATCACTTGTTGATGACAGGAAAAAAATAATTAAGACATTTAGGGTGTTGGTGTGGTTCTTCCATAAGACCAAATTAAAATGGTTTAAAGCATTGAAAATACATATTAGGGTGATTGAAAACATATTTTCCTAACATTCATGACTGATAGTGATCTCAATATTCTCCACTCAACCCCTTATACAAGTAACGTAGGAGATAAAAGGCACTAAATAGATTGAAGATCCAACAACTATAGTTGACAATGATGAGTGTAAGATGCAGAGAAAATTCTAGAGTAGCAAGATAGGTTGAAATATGGGTAAGCTTATATGCTGAATAGAAAGGTCCTTCCTTCAGTCAATGTATAGTTGGAAAAATCCAACAAACAAAAAACTTATGACTCTTCTTCGAACACAGAAAATAAGCTTGAATATTTCTGTCACAACCCAAAGTTGTGAATATGAGTGCAAGGGATATGATAAACTTTGCACCAAACCCAGTTTGCGCATTATGAAAAATCTTCCACATTTGTAGGTATTTCTAATACATCAGATCACTATATAGCCTGATTGTAGTGCTGACCACGATTATGACCACTTAGGTAATGTGTGCAGACAGTGTTCTCATTATCAGGAACCAACCAGTGTTCTTGCACTCCCGTTTTTATATGATCAAATGATTATATTATCCATAGTACTTTAAAGTTTGTCTTTTGAATATATTAACCAAATGCCAGATTTTGTTTCTCAAAAGCCCTTAGATCCAGTTCGAAATCTTATAATCAAGATAACCATACAACAAGAGAAATCTTTTTAGCTATACATCAAACCCTTATTAACTTGGTACCGTATGAGCTGATAAATCATGTTACAAACTGGCATGGTACCTAAAAAATAAAAAGCAGCTACCTTCTTCAATGGTTTCAACTCCAGGAAGGACTTTAGAAAGACCCTCTGCCTCCATCATATCAGAGAATGAAGAATAACTGTGAATATCCTGTAAATGCATTAAGTCAAACTGCAGCCACGTGGATATACAAAAACAGAAACTAATAACACAAAAGCATTGGCACCTGAACTTCAAATAGTAGACATTTATTGAAGAGAATCAAAGATCCTGAGTCAATTCTGCAACCAGAAAATAAAAACACATGAAAGATATGTTCATTTAGCATACCTGGAAAAAAAAAAAAACCTAGTGGATGAACAATTAATGGTTAAAATTGGAACATTGATTAGATGGAAGTAAAACAAAAAATGAATGGGAATCAATAATGCAATTCTTGAACAAAATCTCATGCCCACATTAAAGCCAGTGCCAGTTAACAAGAAGCATTATCTCTACTCTTCTTTTTAAGCATTGATTTTCCAATCTTGAACCTCCGAAACAGTATGATGCGGACATCATTGATTAGTTTCCTAGGTTCTCTAAGTTTCCCAGATTTCAATAGGATTTCTAGTTTTTCCAGATTTCTAAGTTCCCTATTTTATTCGGGTTAGGATTTCTGTTTTAGTAAGGGATTTTTATCCTATTGTCTCTAGGTTTTAGTTTGCTATAAATACCCCCCATGTAATTCATTAGAGATTAGATTTGAGTTATAAGAAAAGTTTATTATTCCAGAGATTGGAGATTTCTGGTGTGAAGCTAAGGTCAGGTGTGCCCCTGGAGTGATTCCAGAACTATCCTTATTCGTTTAATTCTCTGTTTTCATTGTTTTTGCTTCAGCTAAACTACCTAAATCTACAATTCACCCATATCCTACATCACAGTAACCATAATGTGCTGCAAGCATGGGATATTTTGTATAGAAAAACAATAAATAAATAAAAAGGCTTATTTACTGTTTCACCCCCTGGAACGGACACTTGGTCTCACTTTACCCACTCAAACTGAAATTTTCTCATTTAACCCCTGAATATCTAAAAATTGCTGAAATTGTCACACTTTACCACTTTCGTCCACTTCCATCCACAAAACCATTAAATGTGATGACGTGGCATGCACATTCTAGTAATTTTAGTTCCTTATTATCTTCTCTCTTCTCTCTCCCCCTATGTCCCTCTGCCTCTCCCTTCCCTCCCCTCCCCTCGCAAAACCCAACCCCCACCCTAGACCTAACCCATCCATGGAATTACTCAACACACCCAAACCACCACCACCACTCAAAATTTTTAAACAATATCGTCAACAGCCACTCCCCATATTCTCTCTTGGCAGAGAGAGAGAGAGAGAGAGAGAGAGAAGAAAGAAGAGGAGGAGGGGTGGGGAGCGATGGGGGTTGGGTCTAGGCAGGGGATGGGAGAGAAGAGAGAGGCAGAGAGAAGAGAGAAGAGGGAAGAGGGAAGAGGGGTAGGGGTGGGGTGCGATGGGGGTTGGGTTGGGGAGGGGAGAGAAGAGAGAGGCAGAGGGAGTGAGATGAGAGAGAGTGAGAGAGGCAGAGAGAAGAGATAAGATAGATGGCTAAAATTACTAGAATGCCTATACCACATCAGCACCCTTAACAGTTTTGTGGACGGAAATGGACGGAAGTGGTAAAGTGAGAAAATATTAGCAATTTTTAGAGATTCTGGGGGTTAAGTTTGAAAATTTCAGTTTAAAGGGGTAAAGTGAGACCGAGTGTCCGTTTCAGGGGGTGAAACAGTAAATAAGCCTTAAAAAAAAGTGTACTATGAAGGGCGAAAGAAACATAAAAGTTCATAGTGGACAAGAAATAACCACAACACACTATCCACATAATAAAATCAGCCACCAACCATAATCAGAACAATGATCCATCACTGCTCATGCATTTTTCTTTTTTTTTTCCCCCCCCGAGAAGAAGCATAATTATTATATTAATAACAATGGGAAGTACAATCAAAGGGACCAGCAGTTCACAAAATATACAACCCTCGTCCTGCAATAAACAAGAGACCGAAAACAGTATATGAAATACAGAATCCAACCATGCATTAAATAGAAGCAAAAGATGCCCAAACAACAATCAGGAGAACTATGACAGACCAGCTTCTCAATCCACATGTAAGAGAAAGAGTAGACAATCACGAAAGACAGAACAGACCAAGGTTCATAGAGGCCCAAAATCTAGCCTTATCCCATAACTTCCACAACTTTGCTCTCAAAGATTAAACTGTTCTCCTTACCATCCATATCACCAGAAAATAGCTAGGGCACTGTCCACAAAACTTTTGATAGGCTCCACCTTCAAAAGCACGAAAACTCTAAAAATAAAGATTTACATGATAAGGCAGCAACCAACTCAACCCAGACCACTGAAAACAATTATACTCCAGCCAAAAAGCCACCAAACAATGAATGAACAGATGATCAATGGTCTCCGCATCCCCTTACATATAGGGCACTAGTGAGAGGACAAACAACAATGTGGCCTCTTCAGTTGAAGAACCTCACTAAATATTCACCCTTCCATTAGTAGCAATCCAACCAGTTCAAGAAAGCCCTAGCCAAAGGAGAGGTACCTTCTAAAAAACTCTTCCTTCTTTAGATACTGACTCAAGACTGCACTATGATCTAAGTCCCCCACCCATTTTTTCTTTTTACTTAACAGGAACCCCATTCATAAAGCCTCACCTGTATGAAGAGGAAGGACTATAATTTATGGATATGTTTATCTTGTACATGCATTGTCCTTGTGAAGCTATATGATTCTCACACTTATTAAGATATTGTCATAGAGCTTTCCTCCAATAAATTGATGGGGTGAGAAAATTCAGTTCAGTTTTACGACTCCAATTTTGATGACTCTCATTGTTTTTATTTAATGGAAATAAACAAACAAAATAAATCAATAAAATGGAATGCTATGTACAGAATGCATGAAAAATAAACATAGCAATGCATTTAGGTAGTTAAATGAGACTCTTGGTATCAATGTTAGACAACATAACCTATGCAGGTTTTTGTTTAAAAAATTAAACTCAATGGCTATATTAAATTGAGAATAAGAAATCATATACTACTTTAAACAGAAATCGCTGTTAAACTCAGCCAAGGGAAGAGCCATCATATGAGAGGCACCATCTAAGTGAATGAAAAAACCAATCTACTTTAATATTCCAACAAGCCTAAATACATACTGGTATATGCATGAAACTCGAATCGTCGTACCTACTGCAATTACCCAAAGCACACCTTCCTTCAATTGTTTTGAGGCCATCTATGGACAATGCCAAATAAATTGATAGAATAAGCTTCACTTTGTAGAGGATAGAAAATTATATCAAAAGATTTTCAACCATGCTATTTATTACAAAAATAAAAAATAGTTACGTGCCTGCAGCAAACATGGAACTTTAGAATAGAAACTCATTACTACCTTTAAGCTGCGAAAAGAAAGGCTCCTGAACATGAAGCTCAATTTTAACAGTCTTCAATACCTGGTGAAAGGCAACAAATTTTTTCATTAAATAATGAACCTACTTTAAATATGAAAACATCAAGATTAAATGTAGCAAAAATGACACCGCTAATTGTAGTTTACATTTACTAATTCAGATCCCTTCTCTGAGATCAGCTTCTGCCATTCATTTTCTTTCTCCTTCAAGGCACTTTCTTGATGAATAATGGCCATATTGTTGCATGAACCGAAAAGGGTACCAGAAGCTATGGATTCATGCAAAGCCAATGCGAGACGCTTGTATAAAGGGTATGGTGGAATCCCTTCAAAAATACCTGCATAATGGGTATATTTGAATACAATACAATCCAAAGAGTCCATGAATCAAATTCAGATGAAAAGTCACCTAAAGCGTGTAAATCTCAATCATACAATGCATATATACATTTCTGGCCTCACTCACATACATACATTACATACGTATTACATGCATAAACCCACCGGAAATTCAAAATTAAAACTTACAATGAAAAGCTATAAAAATTGGGGCATAGTATCCAAGAATTTTACTGCAAAGCAATGGAAAATGAAGGATGAATTAATTATTGTACCAGTAGAAGAATCGAAGTGGGAAGGGGAGGAGAGGTCGTTTGGCTCGGGTTTGAGGAGGCGGGAGCACAATTCCTTGGGCAGCCCTAGATCGATTTCTAGGGTTCCGTTTGTGCAAGATTGGAGAGTGAACTTCAAGAGCTCTTCAATAGTGTCTTTCAGGTTAACCCTTGGCATTGAGACGGGGATATTCGATGCCTCCATTTCTTGCTCTGCTTTTGTCCCAAAGAAAATGGGCTGACGCATTTCTGCTCTAAGTTATTAACGAGCCTGGAGATGGAACACGTTAATAGCCTCTTGGCGCCAAAAGGTATCTCCTTTTTTTTTTTCATTTTTTTTTTTCATAAATTTCACTTTCCAATTCCCAAAACCCGTGAACAAATATTGTCAAAAAAAAAAATGCTACTACCTCTTTGATAAGCACAGGAATGCTCGATCGAGAAAAGCAAGCAAAGAAGCAGCAGGATGCGGAATATGAAGGAGCTAGGGGTAGAGCCAATAACCAATTGAAGAGCCCTCTCAATCATATGCTCTTGCCAATGACATAGATTGTATATACTCTCGCCGATTAAGGCACATATAAAAAGACTTCGGAATTGAATAAAAAAAACTCTTAACATTGTTTTTTCAATTGAGAAAATTATAAATTGTTGTAATATAAATGTGGATACCCGATGTGGTGGTGAAAGATGAATAAGCAACATTTACTGCAGCTGAAGACTTGGTGGTGTATCTATAGGCAAGGTACACGAAAAATTAATCGCATGTTTAATAATCCGTAGTAAGGTGAGAAGGAATTGAATTGAGGAGTCAAAATATATATTTTTATTGAAGTTGTTTAGTAAATTATTTGGAATTGGGGTAGGAATAGTACCGATTCCTTATAAGTTGTTTACTAAGTTCCCATGAATTGGAATTGAAACTAATTTGATTACTAAAATGCCATTGTTGTTAGATTAAAGTGGATGGCAAATTTGGAATTTTAAGGATATAATAGGTAAAACAGATATCCTAATGGGCAGGGACGGACCCAAGATTTCAAATTGGGGTGGGTTGAATTTACATTACGCACAAATCTATTAAGAAGATAGAAAACTCGACAATACGAGTGAATTTCATTGATCACAAAAAATATATCCTAATCAAGAGGACATAATGAGCTTTACCCCACAAAATTCATTTAGTACATATGGCTTTTTCGTTTTCTACGGGTAGGGGTGTGTGAAGTGAAAGACATGTTATTTTCTATCAAAAAAGAAAATAGGAGTATTTTCGAACAAAAAATTGGGGTTTAGCCTTTGGCTTTTTGTACCCAAAAAAAATAAAAAAGGTGAAGGTGTACCCAAGTGGCGCACAACCAATAAAAGAGTCCAGTGCATGGTTGTCTATTGGCTGGGCTAGGTATATTAGTTTAGGCTGAAAAAACACAAAGTCACCTAGGCTATAGCCCAGGTTAGCCAAAGGGTAGGCCCATCTCTGTTGATGGGTTAGTTCTCTAGGAATTCGAATAGCACCTCCTACCCATGAGTCCAATTCCTCCAAAATCAAGAGTTAAATTCCTGATTTTGGGTGGGCCCCATTTTCATTCCTTTATGTTAAGCAAACACATAAGTAATTTGTAATCGGAATCCAACTCCTTATTTTGATTCCGATTATGGATTAGTAAATGTTGTGTGAAGACCAATTCAGTCTCAAGTAGTTGGGGTCATTATTGATAAGAAGAAAGAGGTTCGCCTATAAAATGATGAAATCTTCGAGTATTTGAAGACGGACCATAAATGAAGTTGAAATCATGAGGAAATCCTATGAAACACTATTTCTCAGTGTAGAAAAATTACAAGAGAGAGCAAATACAATTCTATCGGTTGTAGCATCATAAAAGTAAATACAATTCTATTATCATATTTCATCTATTTCACAGCACTTTATTAGCACAAAAACTCTCAATATATTTAAAGCCATAAAGATATGCATAACTTTAACGAGGCAATTATGCATCAATATTGTATCGATGTTGGCGAAAAAGATATCCAAAGTCTGGTCACTTCTAGGAGGAACCCCTCCTCTTCATCTCGTAGGATCTAGTTAAATCACCCACAAATTGCCCGAGTGATGATTCATTTTACTCAATTGAGTAAGTAATGCTCAAGAATCATTCGTATTACTCAACGGTGGCCACCCGTAAAACTTAGTAAAGCACACCATCACTTTGCTTCCCCAACATTTTCAATCTTTTCACCAATAAATTGATCTTAATATTTCTTTGATAAACAAATTAATATGATCTTTCCACATAAGCGCTAAACCCCACCTCAACCCCCTCAGCCATGACCATTTGTGGATACTCATTGCTCAAACATGTGATTAAACTAAGGTTCTCAAAATACATGTGATCTTTAGTACATCATATCTCGCAAAGAAACACAATAACTGAACCTTCTTGGCACAGTATAACCTTTAGCCCATGAATTGTCCAAGGGTTCCCACACCCTTGGTACTTTTGGCTTTGAATCAACCTCTATCGATTGTGTGTAAAGAAAAGTTAGAGAATAAAAAATTCTTCATTGGACACTTCTTCTCAGTGGGCAACAAAGGCTAAGCAGGATAAGATTACAGTTGATCAAGAACAATGAGTTAAAAGTTGATTGAGTACCACAAGTTAACTTAGTTGGCGACATGATATCGATACATTATTAATGGCAAGTCGAGAGTCAACTCACTTCTAGGAGGAAACTTGTCCTTCTCTTCATTACATAGGATCTAGTTAAAATCACCCAAACATAGCTCAAGTGGATGATTTCTCTGACCCAACTAAGTAAGTAAAGCCGAAGGTTTATCCCTATTACTCATAGATGGCTACTTATAACACCCATTTAAATGACATCGCTTTCTTCCCTAACATTTCCAATCTTCACATAAATACGATGATCTAAATAACACTCCAAAGTATAGAGTGCAATCACATATTCAAATAACAATCACAAAGTACCCTAACTCTTATTAATCTTTTGCCCAATTACTTCATCACAGTATGGATTACAATTTCTCAAAACATAAAATCCATATTCAAAATAACCAAGAATCTCAAATATCAAAATAGTCAAAATTCCAATATTAAGCAATATATATATCCCATAGTCAGAATAATCCATTTTTTTAATGCACATTAATTCAATCGATAAAAATAATGCACTTTTAAAACAAAATCCACTCACAAGTAGTCCCACGCTGCTTGACTCTAAGAGGGTCCCGCCTGTTGAGTACAAGCAGCCAGAGTACTTATTTAAAAGAAATACGAGGGTGCAATTAACATAAAATACGTCGAACGAGAACTTTAAATAAAATCCTAGTTTTCCTTGGATTTCAGTATGTGTACGACAAACAAGAAGTTCCTAAGGTCCAACTACGTGTTCTGGATGATGAAACAGCCTCGGAAGACGCCAGGTGAACCGAGTGGTCAAACATCCCAAATTTGGTCAACCGGGGCCATGAGGCCCATGACCTCCAATTTCCGATCCAAAAGTTCCTACAGGTTTAACAAGGTTTATTATACATGTCTTGCAAGTTTGGTCCGAATCGAACGGTCGGATCGCTCGCGATCGGACGGTTATCGTTTAACGCAAACTTTAAGTCATTGAATCGGAGCATCCGGGACTCTGATTCACAATCCTCAAATTCTTATACAATCTTAGATATGCCTAGATCATCATATATGGAATTGGAGTCGATCAAACGGTCCGAACATATTGAACCCAGATAACGCCTAATATGCAATATCCGATCGACAATCAAATGATAACCAAATTCAAATCCGATCATACCGTCATGCTCGGTACGACATGGGGATCATTTTAGGACCCAAAGGCTTAACACAAAGTGGCCCACGCTCCGCCACAAGCACCAGCAGCACGTGGATGCCCATAGTAATTCCGGCAATCGGAAAATCTCCAAACCGTCGGTCAAGACCTATACCTTTATGATTAGAACAATGAGTGGACCAACTTTTATTATTGGACCATTGCCAAAAAGTGATCGGAACTTACATGAATCACAAGCCGAAAATCGGCCAAACTTTAAGCGATAAATCGAGTTACAAAATGCGGAAATCAATTCTATTCAACCCAACCATCAGCTAGAACACATTGAGAGGATGAAAACGCATACCTAGATCGAAGAAATTGGTGGCCGAAATCGCCAGAACGAATGTCGAAATTTTTGGAAAAAACCGGTCGATTTTTCGTAATTTCCAACGAATGACGGCGGCAATTGCGGCTGCTGAGGGTTGGGGTAGGAAGAGGACAACGTGCTAGTTGTTTTGGTACCAACCTCGTCACTTTTGATGGTCGGAGGTGGTGGTGGTGACCCAAAAATGGGTCAGATGAATAGTAAGAGGGGGGCTGCTACATGCGAAGGGAGAGGGAGAGATAGAGGAAAGAAAGGAAATTTGATTTTTCAAAACCATTTTTGAAATATTTACGATTATGCCATTATGCTTCCATTGATCGTAACTACTGACCTAAACAAGGCTTGCCCAAAAGACAGCTTCCCTCTACCGAGGATCGATTAGCTGGTAGACGCCAGATATTCTTAGTTTCATGGATGCATACTCAGGCTATAACCAGATATTCATGAGCCCCGCCGATCGAGAACATACGACATTCATTACCAACAAGGGACTCTACTGCTACAATGTCATGCCGTTCGGCCTAAAGAACGCAGGTGCAACGTACCAACGGTTGGTCAACAAGATTTTCTCTGAACTTGTCGGCACTTCCATAGAAGTTTATGTGGATGACATGCTGGTCAAAAGCAAGACTGCTGATGGCCATCTCCACAACCTCTCTCTCACGTTCGGCGTCTTAAAGAAATACAACATGCGCCTCAACCCAAACAAGTGTGCCTTCGGCGTCTCCTCCGGCAAATTTCTCAGCTTTATGAACAGCCAGCGAGGCATTGAGGCCAACCCTGAAAAAATAAAGGCATTACTTGACATGAAGGTGCCGAGGACACAAAAAGATGTTCAGAGCCTCACAAGGCGCGTCACTGCTCTGGCCCGATTCGTATCAAAAGCCACCGATCGATGTGCCACCTTCTTCAAAGCCCTCAAAGGGAGCAAACGGCAGATTGTCTAGACTACCGAATGCGATCGGGCTTTCCAAGACCTCAAGGTCTACATGAGAAGGGCACCCCTACTGTCTAAACCTCTTCTAGGAGAACAACTTATTCTCTACCTTTCGGTTTCGGCAACGGCACTCAGTTTCGTACTCATCCGCAAACCGAACGGCATAGAGCTTCCAATCTTCTATACCAGCCATGCCCTGCAAGACGCCGAGATTCTGTACCCCCAGTTGGAAAAGCTAGCTTACGCACTTGTCCTCTCTGCACGTCGACTTCGGCCCTACTTTCAGGCTCATACCGTTGCCGTACTCACTAATCAGCCTCTCCATCAAGTGCTACAGAAACCTGAAGCTTCGGGAAGACTAGTCAAATGGGTCATCGAACTCAGCGAATTCGACATCCTCTATCAACCTCGACCCACGAAAAGGGGCAAGCCGT